GGTCGGCCAGTTCTAGCCCCCAAAAGTGAGAATCCTAACGAGAACCCTTCCGTGGCGATCTTAAACCTAACTAAAACATTGTTCACCCCTAGTGTCAAACTTGGTGGTTCTAATAACACTAAGCATCAACAATTAGTGGGCATAATTTTGCCATTATTACCCATTACTAATCCAGCAAATCAACGACTAATTTACACATTGGTCCCCTCTTGCACAACCCATCAGAATTAATTCCATTAAAACAACAACCTTAATGTTTTTTTTCACTCACACATTATTATTGTTATAAAAAAAATATGCTCATTATTTTTCTAGTGTAAAAAAACTTCTACCGAAACCATTTTTTACCATATTCGAAAAATAGTTATTCGATTGTATTATCATATATAGCGTACAAGGATATCATAAAACCATTTTTTAAGAATACCTAAGTTTAGAATTAGTCTGCCAAAATTGCTTCCTGAATAGAAGTCTTATGCTTGATAACCACAAACTAATTTTCTCAAAAAAAAATTACGGAGTATATTTTATGCTCACTAACGAGAAATATATAAGGTGTGTTATAGTTTCTGGTTGTTTAGTTGGGTATTAAAACAAAACCCACTAATGGTGGAATTTAAATAGTCCAATAAATAATTACCTTTGCAAAAAAAAATGATTTTTCTGAGAGTTTGCACTTGTTAAGAGGCTACATATAAGTAGAATAAAATGATAAGCACAGCCAAACGAGACTCAACGGCATAACCTCCATACATTATTATTATTATTTTTTATAATATTGATAGCCCAAAAAAGGTTGAATAATAATAAAAATATTAATATTAATAGTAATATTAATAGCAGGTACACCTTCATATATCCCAGACAAAGCTCTGTAGCTATTGGAGAAATGGACCAAAAACAGACATAACTTCTTCGTAAACCGGCTTCTTGAAATCCACTGCCTGCGCTCCAGAAATGTTTCATCCAAAACCAATATGATCAAATAAGAGCCATAGCATGGGATTGGCGACGTAAACAAAAACATGGTTAATTGGTTATCCTCTTTATGAACCATGGATAACCGTGATAAACAGCAAAGCAAACGAGGACTAAAAGACTGAACTTACACGACCAACAACTTGTTCGGGTGACATCCAAGACCACTCTCCGAATTCGGGCTTCTCAGTTCCATCACCTAAAAGATTGACTTCCTCCTCCTTTCCAGTAAACTTGAAGAGGAACCTAAAGTTATGATTTATGAAGATCACCATATTAGAGACCAATGTGAGGATGACAACAACGACAACAACAATAAACCCAGTAAAACCCCACAGAAAAAGTAAGGTCTGGGTAGGGTGTGGGTGTAGTAGACCTTAGTACATTACCCCTACTTGGTATCACTTCTTGTGAAGTGTTACATGGGGCCAAAAAGAGGAATTAGATGAACCCACCATTTCTGTGCTTGGCCTTTCCAGTCAGAACCCCATTGCTGCTTAAGTTTTTCCCTGACGTGTGGTGGGAGATCGTATGTCAACCAATGAGGAACCTGCAAGTAACACATGTGTGTCAAGAACAGTTTTGTAATTCCCATGGCGATATATCAAGATTCAAGACGAAGCCATTTTGAGTATTTATGATGATGCTGCGTACAATCTCTGTCCATTACTAATGGAAGGCTAAAAGGGTAATTGTTGACAATGTTTTAACTTTATCCAAATAATAGACTAAGGGGCTGTTTGTTTCAGCCTCTTAATGGTTCAGATGTCTGAATGGTTCAGCACTTAATGGTTCAGACTGTTTGTTTCAGCCTCTTAATGGTTCAGATGTCTGAATGGTTAAGAGATTTGCCTCTGAATGGTTAAGTATTATACAGAGTCTGAATGGTTAAGACCTCTTATCTGAATTGATCAGACATTTGCCTCTGAATAGTTAAGCAATATACTAGCTCTTAATGGTTCAGACCTCTTACTGGTTCAGCACTTA